AAAATGTATCAGTTATTCCTAAGTCAGAAAATCAAAAGATAGAATAAATTTTTTTTTTAAAATCCACCAAACAAAGCCAAATTAGTTGTATAAGAAAGGGGGTGGGCTGACAAGAAAGCAAGTTATTTTGTTTTTCTTTTATAATAAAACCCTGATTGTCTACTAATTTAAGTAAATTTCAAAGCTAGAGGTGACAACTACCACACCAGACATGGTGAGCAATGTCAGACTCCTATTTATATTTTGAAAATAATAATATAAATTAAATAAGCCCTGAAACAGCAATTAAGATCATCGTAAAAACTGGTGGAAGAGAAGTCCCATTGCTGTGATGTGGCTTTTCTCTCATTTATAAGAAAAATGAGGCAATGTAGACCAGTACAGACCCTGATGTTTATCTGATGTGCACATGTAGCAGTAAATTTACACTGACAAAAAAGCAAATCAAATGTAGCTCTACCCCCTCCAAGTTCCCAATGCACCAGAGAGGTGGCTCCAATTTCCTCCCTCAAACAACAAATCAACTCACCACAGCTATTTTAGTTACTTAATGTTGAGATGGAAACACAGAAACTTCCAATTAAGCACAAATATTCCAGAATGTCCAGCTTCCGAGAATGATTCTTCTGTGTTTTACAGAAAAAAGCTCCAACAAAACAAAACCAAAACAAACAAACAAAAAAACCCAAACAAAACAAAACCCAACATTAGGTCCTAAAGACTCTCATTCACTGTTAATCTTCTTTATTTGTGGTTCTACATGTTTAACGACAAACACTGACACTATAACTTTTATTAATTAATAATTTCAGAAGGGTCTATGAAATACTACATCAAAACCAATGTAGTCCATCCCTCAAAAAGTAAAGTAAATGAGACAAAGCACAAGAAAAAACCAAACATCAATCTTTGCAATGTAGAGATGCTATAGATTCTGTCACCTTCATTTAAGATTCCAGTATCCACAAGTAAAAATAAACATTTCACTTTTCAAATACACCTAAAATAATTGCTGATTTTTTAGTCTGAGTGGATGAAAACACAAAACTAGAAATTTCATTTCAGGCAAGTATAAAATTGTGGTTTGATTTTTTTCCTAAATGAAATGAAACAGTATTTCTTTGGTCAAACACCATACCTTGTTTTGGTATCACAAATATTTTCTTAAAATAATTGTCAAACAGCCCATTTTGTTTGACTTTAAAAGCCCATTTATTTTAGGAATGTTGTCTTTTTTCCTTGTTGTTGCTATTAAGTGCATTTTTGATCTGAAACGTTGTCCTAAAATGAAAAATCAAACTTTCAGGTAAAAAAGAAGTCAAAACAATATGCAAACTTTTAACTTCACTTTTTTTTTTTTTTCTCTCTTCTGACACGCACAAAGTAATGGATTGTTTTGTTCACTCCAAAACTATATTTTGGGTAAATAAACGATTTCTATCCCTTGCTAAGTTTATCCATGTACCAGTTATACCCACTCCCTGCTCTTCCCACCAGGCAGTTGGGCTGGAGCTTGCCCGCAGCTCAGCCCCGCTGTGCTGTCCCGATCGCCCCGGACTGCCCTGCTCCCCTCTCGCTCCGCTCCTGCTGCTGCTGGGACCAACACTGCCCTAACCTTCAGGAGCCCTGCGCTTCCACTTACCCCCCCTGCCGTCTCGGAGCGTTCCCAGGTGCTGATAAGCTTTTCTCTCTATTATTGCTGCCGCTTCCCCTTATTTTGGCAGAAGCCGCAGCTTTGCAAGTTGCACGGCTCTTACCTCTGAGACCCTCTTTGTTGCTCTGTGTGCGACCACGCTGGAAGCAGGGAGTTATGAACATTAGGGAAGCATGAGCCTCCCCTCGCTGTTTAGCAGCGTGGTCTGCAAAGAAAGATAGAGATGCTGCTCCCTCCTCCTCCTCCTCCCCCCCCCTCGCTGTCCCAGCTTCCTCCTCCCTCCTCCTCGCTCCCTCCTTCCCATCCCCAGAGAGCTGCAGCACACAATGCGCTACCTCTCAGCACCAGCTACCTAAGGTCAAGAATACAAGCCCTCACCCTTCCCCCGCCTCCTCCTCTCCGCCCAGGCATCCTCACCCCTGCTTCCCACGGAATATGGTATCTTCCCACCCAGACGTGCCTTAGCCGGCTCTGGGATCTAAAGTGCACACAATTTCACCAGCCCCGGGGAAAAAAGAGTTATAAAATAGAAAATGCATAGGGAAGACCAGGGATACAAAGGGAAAGTGGAAGCGTTTTGGGGAAATTGGAAACTTTGGGGGTTTATCTGTGTGTTAAAAAAAAAAAAAAATAAAAAAAATCAAGTCACAGTAGCCAAAGCCTGCCACTTGGAGATTAGTTTAAGAGATCTATACAGATAAAGAAAAGCGCCTCGGATAGCTAGTTATCTCCCAAATCCAGTTTACTTATTGTTTATGCTCTTTGTTTCTCAAGCTCTATGCTAAATAGCTTTTTTGTAAAGAAACTTTTCCCCTGCAAAGCCAGACTTAAATAGCAGCATACTCTCATGATGCAATGGAGAATGAAAGGGAAAAAGTAATCAGTAATATTTTTTAAGGTTATGAACTATGAAATAACCCCTTTAAGATCACAGAAAACACCAGAACAAGTACTCTGACTTTTCAGCTTCAATGACAAATGTGTTCAAGGGGTCTTTTTTCACTTTGAACAGTTATGGTGATTATGATCTCTTTCAGGCAATCAGTACATGGCTCCCAAAAGTGACCTATAGTTACAGCTAACCAGAATATTTTTCTTAAGGACCTAATTTTAGACACATGACAAAACAGTCCTTATAAAGTGTTTATGTTTTTTACAGAGACTGTGGAGAGAGGTAAGTGATGCTGAAGACTTCTAAAAGATCTTGACTCCTTAAGGTTGCACACCTTATTTAGGTGGACAGGGTCTCCCTCTGGAGGTCTCGAGACGCTTCTGGCTCTCGCCAGTGATGTATGGCCACCAAACCATAGCACTCCTAATCTGTACTAAGTCAGACATTTTCTTTTAAGAACAGATAAACTCCAAAAGTAAAAAAAGTTAAAACAAGGAGAGAGAATAAAATTTCTAACTATTTTGGTACTAAAATATCTCTATAAAATCATCTATGTTCTTTTCTAGAACACTCCAGAGATGTCACATTTGTCAGCACAATTTCTGAAGGTCAGAACTACTTTCTAAAGCAAAGGAAGCTTTAGAACAGACAGATCACTAGGAAGTAATGTATCATCAGGACCAGAGGTTTTTTACACAAAATACAAAACTGCTGAACTACCAGCTATAAGATTAAGACCTATATGTATACCTTAAACCAACTTCAGTAGTAGAAGTATGCTATATAAGAGTGGATCACCAATGGCTGACTGATGAGGTGAACATGACTTTAATGAAGCTTGATACCTTGTACAGCACAGAACACTGAAGTGACAGAAAACTATTCAAGCTACACAAACATAGACAGTGAAATGTTGCAGGCATATCTCACAACAGTGGATTATTGAAAGGCCAGGTTCAATTAAGTCCTAATAAATGAAAAACAATGGGTGTCCAAGAAAATATCTGCCTTGTGGCTCTAACAAACCACCGTGGCAGTCAGAGCCAAGATGCTGACAGTCAGTGGAAGAACAAAAGCAGCTCGCCAGAAGAGTCACCTGTCCAGAGAGCAGGAGCAGAATGCTCAGGGAACTAAAACTGGGCCCAACTCTGCTGAGTCCCTCCAGTGCAGGAGCACACTAGGGGCAATAGACACGCCAGAGGCACGAAGTGCAGTCCTTTTCCCTTGCAGCAGACAACTCGCTCTCTTTGAACCAATGTTTCTCCCACTGCTTCATCCAACAGCAGCAGCCACAGATCCAGGCAATCCCAAACAGACTTTCTCCTTACTATCTGCTTTTGTCCACATTCAGCGCAGTAACTTGGCACAGAGAGATGTTGCTCCCAAAGCCACACTTCCCAGTACTACCCTTTGATGCTTTTTTCCCTGCTCTGGATAAAACTGCCAACTATGTGCAAAATAATGGTGTCCTACCCACTTGGCAAAGAGGGGCTTGAGCACCACAGACAGTTTTCTCTAAACAGCTCAATGCTCACCAGTTGGCGAAAAGGCACGCACAATGTTTTAGGGAAAGAATAGAGAATAAAGATGAAAACATCAGTTTGAGATTGCATTAAGTCTACATTTAAGACTTCTGGTACCCCGACTGGGTATCTGATCATGGGATCATAGGTACCCTTTTGGAAGGGACCACTGGCTGTGTCTAACCCAGTCTCACAGTCAAAGACAAGTCAGCTGTGCAGTGAGGTTACTGAGGGCTTTATCCAGCTGTGCCTTGGAAACTTCCAAGGATCAAGACTATACAACATTTCTAGACAATCTGATCCACAGCCTTAGTGTTCTCATGCTGGGGAAAAAACATTCCTTTTCTCACCCTCCTTTTTTTTTTTCCTTTCAGATTACCATTTTATTCCTTTCAAATGTCACATTTGAAAAGGCTACAGCAGAACAGAAAAGCAAAATACAAGAGTGACTACAGATTTGAAATAACTTCCACACAAAACAGATTACATAGGTTAAGAGTCTTCAAATTGGAAAACTGGTGACTGAGCTGATAAATATCTATTGAGATATTTAGTTGAGAATAATATGGAAAAAGCACACTGAAAAGAAATTCTTCCAGTTTCCCATAACACAGGAATTGCAGAGTACCAAATTACATGATTAGGGAACATATTTGAAAAAAGAATTCCTTTATTTTTTTCCAAGTTAAAATTATAGAAGTCACTGCTGTAAAAACCTGATCATTTTTGCTTTCCTGTAATTATATAAATTGTTGTTTGTAGGGGGATAGAATATAAGTAAATAAAGGTATTATAGAAGGTAATCTTACCCCCTAAAGAATTGCAGCTGAGCCAATTACTAAGGATTAGGAGCAGCCGTGATGTTAACAGGCCACAGCTGCAGCCAATCAGAAGAGTGTTATAAAAGAGTGGATTGGCTGGCTGAGGGGAATGGGAGTCAGGTGGCTGCTGTGAGGACAAGGAAGAGTCAGTGCCTGGAGGAGCTGCCTGCAAGAACCATCAAGGAGGTGTGAAACTCTGGTAATATGGAACCCTTGCAATGTAATGATAATAGAATTCTTGCACTATAATGACAACAGTTGTTTACAATTAATAATTTATTATTACTTATTAGAATTTGCCTTCTGATCAGAACCAACTCAAGGTGAAGAAAAGAAGGCTCAAGGAGACCATATCACTCTCTACAAACACCTGTAAGGATGTTGTAGTGAGAGGAGTGTTGGCCTCTTTTTCCAAGTAATAAGAGAGAAGATGAGAGGAAACAGTCTCTAGTGGCACCAGAGGAGGTTCAGATTGGATATTAGGGGAAACTTCTTCACCAAAAGGGTTGTCAAGCAAGGTGGACAGCCTTTGGAACAGACTGTCCAAGGCAGTGGTTAAGTTGCCATTCTTGGAGATATTTAGAAGATGTGCCAATGTGGCACATAGGAACATGGTTTAGTGGTGGACTTGGCAGTGCTGAGTTAATGGTTGGACTTGATGATCTTAGAGGTCTTTTCCAACCTAAATGAATCTCTAAGGTTCCTCAGTATTGTAGGCAAAACTGCATTTTGCCATTCCTCAATGGTAAAACAATGTTATTACCATTCAGTGGTAACACCTACATTCCATTTTGCTTGTGGTGGAAATGTGAGAGGAAGGGAAGGATGAGAAAAGAGGCAGAAAAGTCTGCTTAGCTTTACTCCTCTGGGGTTGGAGGTGATCTCATCTTGCTGGAGGCCCAGGACCCGTTCACAAGGGGTGTTACTGCCTGATGGTAAGACATGGAAGCACTGGGGCTGGACTAGCACAGCATGGAGGAATGCAGATGCCTCAAAAATGGAAACAAGTATCTGAGGTTTTCCAGCACCTATCTACAGCTTGCCTTGCAGTAGCAGGTAACTCACTTTCTCAGAATCTCTTTCTCCTACACCTTCCCTCAACACAAACAGGTGCCCCAATATTTCTCATCCATTTCAAGTTCTCACTGCTATTAGAAAGTGATAAACTGGAGGAAAGGATGGAAGTGGCAAATGTGTTAGGCTTGAATTACTTTTATGCTTTTTGTGCTATATCATAAATCTCACTGCACACATAATAGCAAGCTACTGTTATTTCAAGTAGGTACTGTATATCACTTTGTATCACATTCTCTGTGCTGCAGAGAATGGAGAAGAGCCCAAGAGGAGCTCTGTTGTAGCCTTCGCTGCAGTGTTGTTCTTGCCTCTCTGCTGGGGCTCTTCTCCATTCTCTGCAGCACAGTCCTTCCTGTCTTCTCAGGGGCTCCTCCTGGGCTCTTGACCCACCCCTATTTATTTCAGTTACCTTCACGAGCTGCCCAACTAAGGACCCTGCAGCTGCAGCTTGTTTGGAGCAACTCAGAACCACACAGGTCTTACAATACAACATATATTCAGGCCCCCACATTTCCCCCCTTTTCTTTTAACAATTATACAATTACAATATGCATACAGGCCC